GCACAGAACTACAAACAAACAAATAAATGCATGTAAAAAATGGTGAAAACTGAGTAAGGCCTGCAGGCCAGTTAACAATACTGTACCAATATCAACTTTTTGGTTTTGATTTTGTGCTATAGTTATATAAGATGTCATCATTAGGGGAAATTGAGTGAAGGTACACAAGATTTCATGTGCTATTTTTGCAACTTCCTCTGTAATTATTTCAAAATAATTTCCAAGCCAGACATGGTGGTTCACACCTGTAATCCCAGCACTTTGGGAGGGAGGGAGGCGGACCACTTGAGGTCAGGAGTTTGAGACCAGCCTGGCTAATATGACAAAAATCCATCTCTATTAAAAATACAAAAATCAGGCTGGACGCAGTGGCTCACACCTGTAATCCCAGCACTTTGGGAGGCCGAGGTGGGAGGATCACGAAGTCAGGAGATCAAGACCATCCTGGCTAACATGGTGAAACCCCGTCTTTACTAAAAATACGAAAAATTAGCCAGGCGTGGTGGTGGGCACCTGTAGTCCCAGCTACTCGGGAGCCTGAGGCAGGAGAATGGTGTGAACCCGGGAGGCAGAGCTTGCAGTGAGCAGAGATCGTGGCACCGCACTCCAGCCTGGGCAACAGAGCGAGACTCCATCTCAAAAAAAAAAAAAAACAAAAATCAACCAGGCATGGTGGCACACGCCTGTAATCCCAGCTACTCAGGAGGCTGAGGCACAAGAATCGCTTGAACCCACAAGGCGGAGGCTGCAGTGAGCAGAGATAGCACCACCGCACTCCAGCCTGGGGGACAGAGTGAGACTTTGTCTCCAAAAAAAAAAAAAATTAAAATTTTTTGTGCTTCTAAGGATACCATTAACAAAGTAAAATGATAATCCATGGAATTGATTATCCACTCCACTCCATGGAATAGATTAATCCACTGTACTTCAACCTGGGCAACAGAGTGAGACTCTGTCTCAAAAAAAAAAAGAAAAGAAAAGAAAAGAAAAAGAAATGTGGCTAGTATGACTGAGAAACTAAATTTTTAAAATAAATTTAATTTAATTTAAAAATGAAAGATTAATATTTTTTATTAAAATTTCCAGAATTTTGGAAGTTGAGAAATGCCCAGATCCAGCCAAGATTTTAGCCCTTTAGCTCCTGTATGAGTGGAAGCTGAGGTTTTCTCTAGCTCCTTCCCTTGTTAACATCTTCTTCCCTTCCATTTGAGATCAGTATTTTTCAACTCCCTCAAATCACACTTTTTGCACCTGTTGTCTCTAGCTTACAAGCAAACACTTCCAGAACACACACTTCAGGGCTACCTTCTCCCTCCACCTCATCTGGCAACAGAGGCTTGGAGCTTATGTCCCAGGGTCAGGCTTTTCCATCCCAACACGCACACCGTGAGGACTTTTCACTTCACTTGCCTCTCCAGCACTAGAATCCTTCTGCCTGCCTCTGAATTCTGGTTGTAGTCAAAGCTTGAACTATGGGAGTGGCTGGGAGGAAAAGAACATAAATGTGATGAGGGAATTCAGTGGGGAAACAGCTTGACTGCTCCGGTCTTTGAGGGTCCAAAAGAAACCCTTACACTTGAGAAGGACTAGGAGGTCACTCACCAAAGGGAGCCATTTAGACTGTCTTGAGGGCCCCTTTTCTTTGAGCACTGGCTTCAGGCCAACATTTGGAACTTAGCCACACCACCACCAACCCCCTCTCTTGAAGCCCAGCCAGATTTCCCAGTATGTGAAGCCTTCTCTACTCACTCTGTGTCCTCCCTCAGTCCTCATCCAACCCCTAACAACTCAGCAGCTTCCAGCCCTCTTTGGCCCAGCCAGTCAGTTTGGAGCTTGCTAATTAAAGCTAACTCTGAAAGAGACCTCAAAAAAAAAGGGAAATGAGTGATGAGTGTGGAGTTGCATTCATTCAGTCTAAGGGAAAATAATCTGAGTAGGAAATTGTTAAGGAGAGGTGAGCAGAAAGTGACTTCAAATTTCAAGAGTCATCCTCCAGATAGATATGTATGTGAATTGTGTCCATCTCTACCAAGGACAAGTGAAGCTGAGCTTCAACCACAGCAGAAACTAAGGTTAAATAGTGGATAATAAAGGCCCAGAAAAAGAACAGATGGAGGATAACCCTAGAAAGATCAGATGGGGACGCTAGATACAGATACCCCATGTCCTCTGCTCAGCTCTAGGGCAAAGGAACAGCCAGTGTGCGGGAGAGGAGGGAGAGGTTAATGTCTGCAGAATCCTGGCAGTCTCTATACCGATTGTGAAAATGTCAGGCAGTTGTGCCAAGAAGGGTGAGGGTAATACAGGATGGGCCTGACACTCTCCCTGAGTCAGCCTAATCTTAACATTTAGACTCACCCTTGAGAGCCCCCCAACACCAACCCCCCACATTAGCCCTCACCCTCTGTTTCACTTATCCCATGTCACCATTATCTTGACACTTCCAACCCATGTCCTTCTCTCCCAGGCCTCACAGCTCTGGAGGTGAGGCACCAGGCATTTCCAATCTGCCTCTATTTTGCTTGCTCACTGCAGTTGGAAGCTGGAGCCAGAGAGGGGGAAGGACTGGGCCAGGCTGCCCTGTGATGTTCTCACTCTTCCCGCTTCTATTGATTAGCCCTTCTCTGGAGCAGAGCCTCTTCCCAAACACTCCTCCCCTGCCAGGATTCCCTACAGCTCATGCCCAGCAAGCTAGAGGGGTGTAATGATTAGAGATAAGGAGATTCCCAGAAAAGTGCTCTGGGTCTACCCTCCTGGGGTCTCAACTATGGTGTATGCAGTATACAGTGGTAATACTCAGGCTCTGGAGTCAGATAGCCTGGATTTGTATCCTAGCTCTACCACAAATGAACTCTATTACTTAACTGCCTTGTACCTCAGATTCTTCATCTGCAAATTTGGGATACTCATAATAATATTTCACAGAACTGTTCTAGGGATGAAATGAATTAATGCATGGGAAGTGCTTGACCTGTGATGAGTCCTCAGGAAATGTTTAAAAAGAAGGCACAGTACACATATAATTTAGATGCATACACACAGTATCTCACGTTTTTATTAGAATTTTTATTTTGGCACTTAAAATGTTTTGCTTTATCTACCACTTAAGCATTTCATGTGCTTCTCCTCACTAATCCTTTGACAGCTGCACATCTCCCAGGATTTGGAATGCTATTCTGCAAACAGCTGAATGAATCATTCATTGATCAGTAATTCTCAAATCTTACTCAGAAAATTCAAGAATGTTTTCTTCTAACTCAATCAGCACCCATTTCTCCCCCCCGCCCCCGGCAAGTAAATATAATGAAGTCAACTTCAACTATGCCAATGAATCACAAAATGAGAGAATGTCAAAGTTGGAAATAGTTTTAGATATGGTTTAGCCCAGTGAGTCTCAACCCCGAATACACATTAGAATCACCAGAACAGCTTTTAAAATATACTGATGAGGCCTGGCGCGGTGGCTCACACCTGTAATCCCAGCACTTTGGGAGGCCGAGGCAGGCGGATTACCTGAGGTCAGGAGTTCAAGACCAGTCTGACCAACGTGATGAAACCCCGTCTCTACTAAAAATACAAAAATTAGCCAGGCGTGGTGGCACGCGCCTGTAATCCCAGCTACTCAGGAGGCTGAGGCAGGAGAATTGCTTGAACCCGGGAGGCGGAGGTTGCAGTCAGCTGAGATCATGCCACTGCACTCTAGCCTAGGGGACAGAGCAAGACTCTGTCTAAATAATAATAATTATTATTATTATATACACACACACACACACACACACACACACACAGATGTTTGGTCTCCACTCCTTAGATTCTATTTAATTAGTCTGGAATCAAGGCTTTTTTTTTTTTTTTTTTTTTGAGACAGAGTCCCACTCTGTCACCCAGGCTGGAGTGCAGTGGTGTGATCTCCGCTCACTGAAACCTCCGCCTCCCAGGTTTAAGCGATTCTCCTGCCTCAGCCTCCTGAGTAGCTGGGATTACAGGCGCGCGTCACCACGCCCGGCTAATTTTTGTATTTTTGTATCTTTAGCAGAGACAGGGTTTCACCGTGTTGTTCAGCCTGGTCTGGAACTCCTGACCTCGTGATCCGCCCGCCTCGGCCTCCCAAAGTGCTGGGATTACAGGCGTGAACCACCGCGCCCGGCTAATCAAGGCATTTTTATAAGCCTTGTGATTTTTGTGATTCTAATGTTTAGATTCTAATGCTTAGCTAGGATTGAGAACCACCGATTTAATTCAATCCCTTCTCCTAGTTTTACTAAAGAGAAAACTAGAACCCAGAGTGGTAAGCAACTTGCCCAAAGTCACCCAACATGTTAGTGCAAAGTGCACCGAGAGAGATTGTACCAGTAGCAAGAATAGGCTGATGATGTTTATATTTGTTCTCGTTGGAGTTAATCCCGGAAGCATTTCTTTTTAGTTCACAGAGGCCTTATATAAATTACTTTTTACTTTGGCACAGCACTTAAGCTTCTGCTAAGACTGAAATGGGTTCGCATTCCTGACCACAAAAGGACAGAGATGAAATTCGACATTCACACTGCCCGCCAAGTTAGCCAAGCTCCCTAGGAGGCTGTCTGAAGTGCCTAAAATGCTTCCCTACAATGATCACCCAGAGTTGAGAGACTTCAATGGGGTAGTGAGAAGAAAGAGGGTTGGGAGAGACAGGAAAGCATTCTCTCCCTGAGGGAAGGAACTGGGAATCAACTGAGAACCAGCTAGCACTGCCAGGAGGTAAGGAGAGGGAAGGAGAATAATTTAAATGAGCCCAGGGAGCTTCTGCTCCCTCAACAACCAAACGGTGATAGACGGCCTGGCACCACCAGCCCTCGAAGCCTGAGAGCCACAGAAAATGTTAAAAACTGGCTTGGCAATATGAGTATTAAAAAATACTTCTTCCAACACTCACCAAAAAGTAAGCTCCCAATAAAGAAAAGAGTTCACCTGCCCTCCGCAACCCTCTACCTCCCTTCCCCGCCAAGATCTTCACCCAATGTCTCAAAAGAGGGCGGTTCCCAACCTCACGTGACACAGCGGTCACGTGACATGGCCCCGGGGAGCCGAGGTGAGCTTTCCAGCTTCCGGAGCCGGAGGGGGCCCGGCGTACCCAGCCCCCAGCCCGACGTGACCATGCTGTCCCGCCTCCTAAAAGAACACCAGGCCAAGCAGAATGAACGAAAGGAGCTACAGGGTGAGCCAAATATCCTGTCGGCAGTTTTCTTTCCGGCCGCGGCCTAGCTTCAGCCCGGAGCCTGGATCTCGAGTGACTACCCATATCCAGGGAAGGACGCTAGCTAGCGGGCAACGGGCATGGGGGAGAGGGAATTTCAGGGCGGATTTTTTTTTTGAAACTCCTTTCCCTTGCCAACTGGCTCTGGTCCCTTGGGCAATACTCCGGTCCCCTCGGCAACGCCCCTAACCCCCGACCTGCCGCTCCTCAGCCCCGCCCGTGCCCCGGAGCGCCCTGCCTATTGGCCCTGGGAGCCTCTCGTCCTGGCGGTAGGAAGGAGTGACTCTGTAGGGAGGAGGGTGTGAGGAACCCTCCAGAGATGGGCTTCTTGGAGGCCTGAAACCCCCGGAACGGAGGTGGGGCACTTGTTTCCTGAGTCCGGGCTGGAAATCTCGGAGTTACCAATTCTTCGGCCAAGATAGTGGAGAAAGAGTGTCTGGGAGTCAGGAGTCCTGGGCGCTGCCGCTGACTTCCTGGCGTCCCTGAGTGAGTCCGTTTCCCTCCCAGGGTACCAGTTTCCTCATCTCTAAAATGAAGGAGGTTGCGCTATGTTTTTGCAAGGTCCTTTTCAGCTCCGGCATTCAGAGATTAGTTAAGAAATTTCGGCAACTAGCAAAATAGTAATGGGTGGGTAAGGAACCTTTAACACTACTCCTCAAAAACCCAAGTCTCCCCTCCAATTCCTTTTCCCCCTCTCCCCAGAGAAGAGGAGGCGAGAGGCTATCACTGCAGCGACCTGCCTGACAGAAGCTTTGGTGGATCACCTCAATGTGGGGTATGAACCTGTTTCTCATCAACACCAGTTTCCTCCTTCCCCAACCCGCCCAAGTTTAAGCACTGGCCAGTCTGGCCCTCAGACCGCTGTTGAAGGGGTGGGATGTTCCACTAATTCACCTATCCTACCCCGCCCCTCCCAGCTCTACGTAGAGAAACTTGAGTCAACTCTGAGTCCTAGCACTGGGCAAGGGAGGAACAGCTGCAGTGGTTAGAGAAGCAGCCAGATTTCCTCTTCCCCACATTAACTTCCCTGGCATTACAACTTGATGCCATCTGCCCACCTCCCTTCACCCTTCCAAGTCCAGCTGTCATTTCAGCAGGAGGGAGAGCACCCTCCTTCATTACAGCTTACCACCCTCTCCTTGCCTCCCACCCTCTGGCAAGCCTGGGGAGCAGCTGGCAGGAAAGAGATGGCACAGCTGGTGGTGGTGAGAGTAGAACCTGTTCCAGGAGCTATGGCAGAGCCAGGCTGGCTGTTACCTTCCTGCTGGGTCTCTGGGGACCACACCCTGCCCCAGCTCTAAATGAGAATGCCAGTAACAGCCAAAGACTTGGGAAAAAGCAAAGAACATTGTCTCTTGACCCTGAGTGACCCAGAAGCGTGCAGAGATGATGATTTGCTAGTCTGCCTGTTGGAAGAAAGGCAGTATGGTACCTTCCACCCCAGGTCAAGTAGAGCAGCTTGGTGTGAATCCAGAGACTGAGTCATCCAAGTGATCCATGCAGGGGCTGGGGTCATCTTCATTATTCATCATGGGGGAAGGTTGAGAAAAAGAAAGTTGTGGTTGGGGCCTCTGATCTTCCTTCGCTCCAGACACCTCTCTTTACTCAGTGTGAATATAGAAGCAGGTGGTCAATGGGGAAAACCAGGAGTTCAGGAACTCTCAGGGGAGTCTGTTTCAGTTCCTACCCCACCCTTGACAGTGACCCAGCTGTCTCTCAAAAAGAAGGGACAGGGTCTGCCCTCCCACATTGGCGCCTCCTGGGCTCTGCTGTGCCCATCATTAGTGAGATTGGCCCCGGCTTCTCCCTCTTCTTTTCCTTTGCTAGAGGCCACCCCACTTTCAGCTTAGAGGGCAGCTAAGCCAAAGCCAGATTAGAAAGGGTTTTGTGTTGCTGCCCACAGCTCCCTCATTCCCAGGAAAGGAAAACAAAGGCTCAGTCTATCTTGGCCCCTGTCAGGTGTCCTGCCCACTCCCTCAGCCCCCACCAACCCCTTCCCCGCTCCAGCCCGCACACATTCCAGTGGGTAGGGGCACCGGATGTGGAATCTCCTGGCTGACTAGAGCTTTGGGGTGGGAAGTGAAAAATTCAGCAGCCAATAAAGGAGAACAATTATTGCGGGGGTGGAGGAGGGCAAAAAACATTGGCAGAAGGTTGGGGACACCAACCCCATGGTAGTAATGGTAACCACAGCCCGTACCTTGATTGAAAAGAAAAACTAGTGTCTAAGGCAGAAGGGAGGGAGCGTGTGTGTGTGTGTGTGTGTGTGTGTGTGTGTGTGTGTGTGCGCGCGCCTTGATCTGTGTGGGCGAAGGCTTGGGAGAGCAACTGAGAGCTGAGGAGAAACCCCTGGGATATCCTCTTTTGACCCAGGGTTTCTGGGGAGGGGTTTGCGCTCCCATCCTACCCCAGCTTCAGGGAGGGGCCCAATTTCCCTCTCCAACTTCTTGCATAGATCCCTGGGCTTCCAATCACTGCCAGATGTGTCCCTCCTGCTGGATTTTCCCGGTTTTTCCATGCCCCTTTTTCCCTCCCAGCTTTTTCCTCAGGGATATCACCCCAGGTTTTCCCTTCCTTCCCCCACTCAGCTGCAGGACCTCCTTTTTGGGGGTTGGAGCTGGTATGTTTCTAGTCAGCTCCGAGCTTGGCTCTCCTGGGAATCCTGGGAGTGAGAGGAAGGAGCTGGGTTTATTTGCATGTACTGGTAGTCATTTGCATCACATCCAAAAATGGCCAAAATTATGAGCCCTGATTCTTGGCTGAACTCCCACTGCTGCAATGGAATATGAGTCCTGGAGACCACCCCCAACTAGCTGGGTGAGCTCATCTCCTCCCTCCTCCAACCCCCCAGTGTGGCCCAGGCCTACATGAACCAGAGAAAGCTGGACCATGAGGTGAAGACCCTACAGGTCCAGGCTGCCCAATTTGCCAAGCAGACAGGCCAGTGGATCGGAATGGTGGAGAACTTCAACCAGGCACTCAAGGTGGGCCATACTCCCTACCTCACCACCCCAATCCTGGGTCCCCATTGGCTGCCTCAAGTCAGGTTACCTCTGGTTTAGGTCAAGGAGGAAGTAGGGTGGTCCCAGAAACCCCATCTATAGCCCCAGTATCAGAAAAGGTAGAGAGAGAAAGAAAAGCAGTTGGTGGGTCCAAGTAAAGCCTTTTCCAGGAGATGAATAAAACGTATTCCCCAGACTGGAAGCCATACTCTACCCATTCTGATTCCTGGGCTCCCACCTCCTCTCCCCCTTCCCAGGAAATTGGGGATGTGGAGAACTGGGCTCGGAGCATCGAGCTGGACATGCGCACCATTGCCACTGCTCTGGAATATGTCTACAAAGGGCAACTGCAATCTGCCCCTTCCTAGCCCCTGTTCCCTCCCCAGACCCCATCCCTCCTACCTCACCCACAGGGGGAAGGAAGGAGTCTGACAAGCCTTGAATAAAACACAAGCCTCCATTTCTCTGTGGTGTGTTTCGAAGAGCTACTAGCTCCTGTGTTGGGGGTGGGAGTGGAAGGTTCAAAGGTGGTTTCCCTGAGGGACAGGTATCTTTTGGGTAGAGGGTGGAACTAGCTTCCTCTTACTGTCCCAACTCTCTTCTCCTCCATGGCATTTGTGCAGGTGTCTGTTACGCAAGCAGAGGGTGGGAGTTCCCATCCCTCCTGTGAGAAGGTCCTAGCAGCCCTGCCCCAAGCTTCCTAATTCAGGACTTATTTCCTACAGAAGAGAAACAAGGCAAGGTACAGGCCTGGTCCCCAGCTCTGGCTCTCTGCCTCTCCACATGCTCATGGCCTCTCCCAGGCTAACACTAAGCAGTGTCATGAGTCTGAGCCAGGTGGGAGATTAATTCCTGGGGGCGCTTCAGGGCTGAGAAGGGGGAGGAATGACAGGTCCAGTAACCGTTACCAACAGAGCAGTGCAGCTGCCATCCTTGACAGCTCCCTCCTCCTCGGAGACCATGACATAGATGGTCAGGAACCCAGGCTGAGAAAGACAGCCAAGGGGTGGGGGGAGCCTAGGCAAATCTGGCCTCTGCCAAGTCCTGGCTTCAGCCAGGCAAGCTCCAGCCTCCCTGGCTCCTCCTCCTTCCCAGCCCTATCCCCACCCTGTCACACATACACTTAATACGCCTGGCATCTAAGTCCACCCACTCCAGACTTTGGCCTTAGCAGTAGCTAGTGTGGGAGGCTGGGAAGACTGGGAGGAGTCTCTTGAACAAAAGCAAAAGAATCAGCTTCGGGTGCTGTAGTACCTGCCAGCTTTCCCCCCAGGAGGTAAGTAGATACTGGGAGCTGGGGGAACTATGAGAAGACTAGCTAGATATTACATGTATTGCCAACTCAAAACTTTCAGCTTTTAACATGCTTCCTCACACATTGTCCCCTTTGATCCTCCACAACTCTGAGGTGGACCTGGTGGGTCTTAACCCCACTTGGTAGGTGAGAAAATAGGTTGAGAGAGACAGCGAGATGCTCAGCATCACACAGCAAATCTGAGGCCACCAGGACTAAATGCAGGGTTCTTGGCCTATACATCATTCAAACACAAGACCCAGGTTGCATATAGAAGGTTCAGTGTCCCTGGTTTAGTAGGAGAGAAAGTGAGAGGCAAGCAAGGAGATGCCCCTGCGCCATACAGCAGGTCTGTACACAGGACCTGGCTCATGTGGCTTCAGTTAAATTAGCCACAAATACAGGGTCTGCCCACATCTTTGCTTTGCACAGATGAGCCATAGTTGGCCAATTATCTGCCAACCAGATAATTTCTCAATATGCTCACACCAGATGCTTCCAGCTAGGGAAGGTATTAGGGGAAAGGGCTTGAGGGCCGCAGTAAACTGGACAAGTTTTTCTGCCCAGCCTAGGCTGCCACCTGTAGGTCACTTGGGCTCCAGCTATGTGGCTGCCTCTGCTGCTGGGTGCCTTACTCTGGGCAGTGCTGTGGTTGCTCAGGGACCGGCAGAGCCTGCCCGCCAGCGATGCCTTTGTCTTCATCACCGGCTGTGACTCAGGCTTTGGGCGCCTTCTGGCACTGCAGCTGGACCAGAGAGGCTTCCGAGTCCTGGCCAGCTGCCTGACTCCCTCTGGGGCCGAGGACCTGCAGCGGGTGGCCTCCTCCCGCCTCCACACTACCCTGCTGGATATCACTGATCCCCAGAGCGTCCAGCAGGCAGCCAAGTGGGTGGAGACGCACGTTAAGGAAGCAGGTAAGTATGGTAGACCACTAGGAATATGGTGTGGGGTATCCTGATCCCCACAGTGACCCCAGGAGTCACCTGCAAGGGCTGTGGTAAGCTAAAGGGACTATTTGAGGAGGAGCAGTTGTTTTCAGATGCTCCCAGGAAGAAGAGGGGGCTGTGGGAGTGCCTTACCTACCCCCAGCATCCTTCTCATCTCCCCACAGGGCTTTTTGGTCTGGTGAATAATGCTGGTGTAGCTGGTATCATCGGACCCACACCATGGCTGACCCGGGATGATTTCCAGCGGGTGCTGAATGTGAACACAATGGGTCCCATCGGGGTCACCCTTGCCCTGCTGCCTCTGCTGCAGCAAGCCCGGGGCCGGGTGATCAACATCACCAGCGTCCTGGGTCGCCTGGCAGCCAATGGTGGGGGCTACTGTGTCTCCAAATTTGGCCTGGAGGCCTTCTCTGACAGTCTGAGGTGAGGGGTACAGGGCTCTGGGTTCCAGGACTAAGAGCAGCCCACTCAACAAACATGGGCCAGCAGAGATGGTTAAGATACAGCATATTGGAATAGTTAAGACAGTTTAAGGCTAGACTTCATGAATTCAAACCCCACCCTTATGTAAGCTTTGTGACCATAAGTAGATTACTTCTCTTTACCCATTTTTAACGCATTAGTTTTTTGTTTTTTTGTGATGGACTCTCGCTCTGTTGCCAGGCTGGAGTGCAGTGGCGCGATCTTGGCTCACCACAACCTCCGCCTCCCTGTTTCAAGCGATTCTCCTGCCTCAGCCTCCCAAGTAGGTGGGGCTACAGGCACGTGCCACCATGCCCGGCTAATTTTTGTATTTTTAGTAGAGATGGGGTTTCACTGTGTTGGCCAGGTTGGTCTCTAACTCCTGACCTCGTGATCTGCCCGCCTCGGCCTCCCAAAGTGCTGGGATTACGATGTGAGCCACCACGCCTGGCCTTGCCTCTCTCTCATCTTTAAATAATAAGGTTCAAAGTTCCATGGGAGCACAAAGGAGACATGATGAGGACAACAGGGGAGCAGGGCCTGAGTTCTTTTTGTTTGGTTTTTGTTTTTTTTGTTTGTTTGTTTGTTTGAGAGTTTTGCTCTTGTTGCCTAGGCTGGAGTGCAATGGCAAGATCTCAGCTCACTGCAACCCCTGCCTCTCAGGTTCATGCAATTGTCCTGCCTCAGCCTCCCAATTAGCTGGGATTACAGGCACCCGCCACCACTCCCAGCTAATTTTTTTGTATTTTTAGTAGAGATGGGGTTACACCATGTTGGCCAGGCTGGTTTCGAACTCCTGACCTCAAGTGATCTACCGGACCCAGCCTCCCAAAGTGCCGGGATTACAGGCGTGAGCCACCACGCACAGCCCAAGGCCTGAGTTCTTAGCAGAAGTACAAGGCGCCTAAGCTTAGTCCACCTTCTAAGGAAGCCTGCCTTTGTCACCATCACTCAGCAAATAATCTGAATGTCTCCTTTTGTCCCTGTCTCTCAGCCTGAATTTTCCAGGCAGCATCATGGAACACAGGCTTTTTTTTTTAGTTTTGAGACAAGGCCTTGTTCTCACCCAGCATGGAGTGCAATGGTGCACTCACAGCCCACTGCAGCTTCAAACTCCTAGGCTCAAGCAGCTCAAGCGATACTTACGCCTCAGCCTCCTGAGTAGCTGAGACCACAGGCGTGTGCCAGCATGCCTGGCTAGTATTTTTTTTACAGATAGGGTCTTGCTGTGGTGACCAGACTTGTCTCAAACTCCCGGCCTCAAGCGATGCTTCCGCCTGGGCCTCCCAAAGTGTTGGGATTATAGGCATGAGCCACTGCATACTGGAACACATACTTTATACTTGGATTTTTTCTCCCCTCCCCTCCTGCTCCTTTCCTATACTTGGATTTCTACATCTATGCCAGAGCAATGGGATGTATCCCCACTTTCCCCATCAGCTTACCCTCCAGCAAATATGAGACTATACCCTTCAATATCCAGCACTCAGGGCTCAACCCTGTGTTTCAGGAACAAGGGAATGGGGTTCCCCTAGGTCAGGAATTGGCAAACTCAGTACTCAAGCCAGATCTGGCCAGCTGCCTACAAGCTAATAATGGTTTTTAGATTTTTAAATGGTTACATTGTAAACTGTTATATAAGTACCTGATAATATCATTAATTTTGTTTCTTGGCCTGTCACGCTTAAAATATTAACTCTCTGGCCCTTTAAGAAAAAAATGTGCTGACCCCTGCTCTAGATCAAAGAAAACAAACCACAAAAATACTTTCCTCCCTCTACCCCACTTGACCCTTGTCCCAGGGCAGTAGGTATCTCCGTCAAAACTCTTGTCCCTGGTCTGTGGTAACTTTCTCAGCTCCCCAACCCATGTCCCTCAAAGTCCCCTCCCTATAGAGCAAGAACCCAGCAACTTCCCTCTGCCCCCCTTCTAGGCGGGATGTGGCTCATTTTGGGATACGAGTCTCCATCGTGGAGCCTGGCTTCTTCCGAACCCCTGTGACCAACCTGGAGAGTCTGGAGAAAACCCTGCAGGCCTGCTGGGCACGGCTACCTCCTGCCACACAGGCCCACTATGGGGGGGCCTTCCTCACCAAGTGTGAGTAGCCAAGCCCACACAGGGCACATGAAGGGAAACAAGAGTACCAGAAAGGCCAGTCCTGCAGAAGCCTGCTGGGAGGTGGGTGGGGCACCCAGGGCAGGGTTGAGGGTGAGTGGGATGCCACAAGAGTGCCCAGGCCATGTGGAACCTGCCCACTCCCCACACTGAGGAGGGGACTGAGGGTGACAAGCCCAGGGCCCCAGAAGACAGTACCTAAGATGGGCTGGAGTGGGGAAGGGAAACTGATTGCAACCACCTATGGGGTGCAGACCTGAAAATGCAACAGCGCATCATGAACCTGATCTGTGACCCGGACCTAACCAAGGTGAGCCAATGCCTGGAGCATGCCCTGACTGCTCGACACCCCCGAACCCGCTACAGCCCAGGCTGGGATGCCAAGCTGCTCTGGCTGCCTGCCTCCTACCTGCCAGCCAGCCTGGTGGATGCTGTGCTCACCTGGATCCTTCCCAAGCCTGCCCAAGCGGTCTGTTGAATCCAGCCTTCCAGCAAGAGATTGTTTTTCAAGGGCAAGGACTTTTATTTCTGCCCCCACCCTGGTACTGCCTGGTGCCTGCCACAAAATAAGCACTAACAAAAGTGTATTGTTTAAAAAATAAAAAGAAGGTGGGCAGAAATGAATGTGCCCAGTGGAAGGCTGACCCCATTTAAGTGCCAACTACTCCAAACCGACATGCTCACGGTCTGTGGCCTGTTCAGTGCCTGCAAAACAGCTAGCACCCACAGTGGGGCACCAAGGAACTGCCTCACATCTACAGCTGCACCTCGAGGAGTGGCCATCAGAGGGCACTTTGATACATTTCCCTTATTTTCTGAAGGGGAGTAAGGTTGCAGTTCAGTGTCTGTACTGGGAATGGTCTTTATAAATCTTGGGGGAGAAGAGCAGGTGATGAAGAGGGGTCGAGGCCACGCTGGGTGGCTTCCATGGAAGAAAAGGCAATGTTCACGTAAATTCTCCTGCTAAGGACACTGGCCACACAGGTGTCAAGGCAACTTAACCACACTTTGAAAGGAGCCGCCGGGCGCGGTGGCTCACGCCTGTAATCCCAGCACTTTGGGAGGCCAAGGCGGGCAGATCACGAGGTCAGGAGGTCGAGACCATCCTGGCCAACACGGTGAAACCCCATCTCTACTAAAAATACAAAAAATTAGCTAGGCGTGGTGGTGCGCGCCTGTAGTCCCAGCTACTGGGAGGCTGAGGCAGGAGAATGGCATGAACCCGGGAGGCAGAGCTTGCAGTGAGCCGAGATGCGCCACCACACTCCAGCCTGGGCGACAAAGCAAGAGTCCGTCTCAAAAAAAAAAAAAAAAAGGAGCTGGATGCCTTGAGGATTGACCAGGAAGGGAGGTGCTGGGCCCTTAGCGGTGCACAGAAGGCCAGGAAGATGTCCAAGGCAGATGTGGGCTGGGCTCTCCCAGGTGGGACCTTTCTGGAGAGCTGCTTTGACTTACGCAGCAGATGGCTTCATGAATGTTCATAGTGAGCCTGGCAGCGTAAGACTAGGGGGCAGAAAGCACTACAGTCTCTGGATCCTCACTTCTCCCACTGCCTGTCCAACCAACACCTTCAGCAAAGTCCTCCTTTCCCAAACACCCCCCAGAATAGACCTTCTCGAAGTACACATGCAGTAAGGTCCCAGAGGACAGGCAACATGGGTAAGGAAAGGAAGGAATCAAGCATCACTCTAAGACAAACTCAGACCATTTCTCTTTTCGGTCTGAAAAAATAATCCGTTTAATTGAAAAACCTGGAGGATACTATCCACTCCCCCAGATGAGGAGGCTGAGGAGACCAGACCCCTACATCACCTCGTAGCCACTTCTGATACTCTTCACGAGGCAGCAGGCAAAGACAATTCCCAAAACCTAGAAGGAAAGATGGGGATGGGGATGGAGAGGAGTCAGAAGGGCCAGCTACCCAAGACCCATGCAAGAGACTCCAAACACACACTCCCAGGTCAGTACCTCCTGCTCAGCACCCTTCTCCCCTCGGCCCCTATCCTCCAGGCACCCTGGATTGAGTCCCAGCCCTCTCTCAGGGTTATCTCTTACCTCAACAAAAGCAATTCCAAGAGCTGCTGCAGCCACCACCAGCACATTTTTCCTCAGCCAGCCCCCAATCTTCTCCACACAGCCCTGAAGGGTGGCAGGCACAAAGGATAAAAGCACCATCAGAAACTTCCCACCCCAATCCCCTCCCCTGGTCCATCAATCTCTTCCCTGCCCCGGTACCTTTCACCCCACCCTTACCATTTCCAGATCCCCTCCCCATCCCTGACGCTGTCCACCTCCATCCTGGGTCTCTTGCCTTCTAAAACATTTCCCAGGTTTTCCAAGTCCCATACACAGTTTCCTCCCTACCTCCTTATGGATCGCCTTCTCGTTGAAATTAATCCCACAGCCCACAGTGACATTAATGCAGCAGGAGTCAGGGACTCGGTTCTTCGACATGGAAGGGATTTTCTCCCAATCTGTGTAGTTAGCAGCCCCACAGCACTTAAACTGGGGTAGGGAAGAAATATGGAGAAGGGAGTTAAGTGAACCTTCACCATCAATATGGAGATGAGAATTCTTTTTTTTTTTTTTTTTTTTTTTTTTTTGAGACGGACTTGCTCTGTTGCCCAGACTGGAGTGTGGTGGCTTGATCTCGGCTCACTGCAACCTCTGCCTTCTGGGTTCAAGCGATTCTCCTGCCTCACCCTCCTGAGTAGCTGGGATTACAGGCACTCACCACCACACCTGGCTAATTTTTGTATTTTTAGTAGAGAAAGGGTTTTGGCCTCCAAAAGTGCTGAGATTACAGGTGTGAGCCACCACACCCAGCCTTGGAGATGAGAATTCTCTATTCCCATCACCCCTGCTCCCAGCAACCCCACTCACATCTGCCTGCATCCTGTCCAGGATCGAAGCAGTGTGGTTGTTTTTCGGGTAATTCTCCATCTGCTGCCGGAAGTTGTTATTAAACTCTGACATCACCTGAGGGTACGGAGGAGCACTGTTGCCGTCAGAATTCAAGCACCTGGGTCCCAGACCAGGCTGAGGCAGGCCCTTCCCATTATTCCCTGCTTACCTTATCTCTAAACACATAGCCAGCAATGGCTGCGGCCACCTCCACCAACATGATAAGAGACAGAAAGATGGCAAACTGCAGGAGCAAAGGACAGGAGTCAGGTTTGGAGTCTATGCATTACAGGGGCCCGTTCTGGCATAGCCGGTCCCTGGACACTCACAAAGGTCTTCCTCACCCACCTCACCTCACCCACCTTCCTGAGCACCAACCAAGTTGCTCTGGCAGTCCCAGACCACCCATGTTAGTCCCACCTCCCACTCACCGTGATCATAAGACAATAGTTCTCCTTGCAGGCCCCGCAGCAGCCCACAAAGGCCACGAGGAAGAGGAAGACACCCACTGCGATGATGACCACAGGCAACAGAGAGCCAGGGGTAGCCCCCTGGATTATGGTCTGACTCAGGACAAGCTGTGCCCCGACACCCACAGCAATCAGTCCCACTGCACAGGCCTAAGAGGAAAGCAGGTGAGGATTAGGCCTGATCCACAACACAGTGGTCCTCCATGGTGGAGGGCAAGGGGTACACCTAGGACACAGACATGACCCCATCCGGAGGAGATTCTCACACCTCCAGGGAACTTCTTTGGCTGTAGGGAAGGGGGATGACCCATCCTTGCCTGCCCCCATCTCCCTTGATCCCCTCCCAGCTCTTCAATCAGGGACGTGACCAAATTCAAAGACCTCCCAGAAAGCCTTGACCCCAAGGCACGTATTTCTGACCTAGAATAATGCTTTCTACGGGCCTCCAGGACTCCCAGCTCAATTCTCTCCCAGAACTGCTCCCTCACTATCCTCCAGTGCACACCCCACGCGCATCAGCTGTGACTAAGGTTCCTCTGGCCAGTTAAGCCAGGAGAAGGGAAGAGGAAAAGGCGGCAAGAGTGATGTGCCCCTCCCTAGACAAACAGTAGCCTCTCAAGCCAGGAGCCCAGGACAGGAGCAAATTGAGGTGGGCAGAGCCCTTCCTCGCTCCCAAGCGCTGGGAGGACGGAAAGGGGGAGAGGGACTGGAGAGGGATGAGGGGGTTGGGGAGGAAGAGAGGGGAGAAGGGAGAGCGAAGGGAAGCCTCGTGGCGATAGCATCAGGCGGTTGGCTGGTTGCCCCACTGCCCCATATCACAAGTGGTTGGGTCACCAGACAGGAAGGGCCAGGAAGGAGGGATGGGGGTAGGGGTTGCTGCACACCCAGGATGGCCATTCTCGGTGGAAACAAGCCTCAGGTGTCCAGGAAAACTGGAGGAGGGAGTGGCCGCGCTGTCTTTCCCTGGCTTTCTTTCCACATCTGGTCTCCAGCTGCCTTAATTCTTATTCCCTCAGCCCTCACCACTGTGGAGCCAGGTCTCCCCGCACCCTGCCGGCGCGCCCCCCAGGACCCCTCGCCACTCACGCAAAAGGCCAGCAGGAGGACGTAGAGCAAGAACTTCACACATTTCATTCCTCCTTCCACCGCCATGGCTGCCGGGCCTGGGGCAGAGAGGAGGGCGGGGGGATTAAAACCGGCCGAAGGGGGACCTCGGTTTCCGGGCTCCTGGCCGGCCCTCGAGGGCTTCCCTACACGGCCCCGATTCCCGGCCCCTCCCACCCGGAAACCCGCGGTCGGAACCACGTCTCCCAGCCCCCTCTCTACCCGCAGGAGAGGGGTGGGGGCGACCACCGCGAAGCCCGGACCCCGCCCCGCCGCCTCTGGGGCCCAGGATAGATCCGAGGGCGCCGGTAGGGGCTCGAGCCTGACGCCGACCCTCGGCCCTTCAGTCTCCAGGCGTCAAACACCCTCTCCCCACCCAACACCCAGCCCGGAGAAACGGTCTTCAGCCCAACCCCGACCCCTGCCCCAGTCGCTTTCCCCTGGGCTCTGACCTCCCGCCCACCAAAAAAAAAAAGGTGCGGCCGGCACCCCCGCCACACCCTGCCCGGGCCCAGGGAAGTTCGAATCAAAGTTGCTCGAGGGCGGCTGGAGAGCGCCGGGCGAGTCTCCGCGGGCCTGGGGCGAGCCCTGGAGGAAGGGACCGCCGGTGGTCTCTCCCAGCCCGCGCCGAAGTCCGCCGGGGCCCCGCGGCCTCACCTGGGCTCCCCAAGGCTGCGCGCTCCTCTCCCGCCGCGGCTCCGGGGCTCTCTAGCTGCGCCCCCCGGCTCCCGCCCCGCCTGCCGCGCGGCCCCGCCCCGGGCTCCAGCCACGGTCCCCTCCCCCGCCCAGTGGCCGCCGGCCTCCCTCATGTGACGCGGGAACAGCTGCGGCCTGAGTCACTGGGCCCGGCGCGGGGTGGGCCGAGCCCCCCGCCCGGCCAGGGCCACGTGGCCCCTACCCGGAAGAAGGCGCCCACCCCCCGCAAACGGAGAGCCGAAAAGGCAAGACCTCGGGGCGCCTGGGGCCCCCCTCTCGCGCCCCGCCTCCGTGCCAACTCGGGGTAGGAGAGCAGGGCGGAGCGCAGCCTGGGTCACTCTGGTTTAGAGAAGCGGACGAGCTAGGTGAGAGTTATCCTGAGCGCCGGGGCGGAGAGCTGAGGCCCGGTGACAAGGTGGTCTGAGAGAGGTTTCCCCATCCTTCTCCAGTAGCCCAGCTCTCTC